CTGCCTGATTGACATATACAAGATTGTCTAAGTAATGGAGTACATGGTTCTGCCCTCAATTACTCATGAACAGTATGAACAGCCTTCAAAAATACTGTAATTCATATACTCCCTCCCTACAGTTCTTTTCTACCTCCTCCCCATGTCACCCTACAGTTACACAAGCATACCAAATCAAAATAAGGGAAGTGAACACCAATATAAACCGGGCTGAAATCTGAAATTTTAAGTCATTTAAATGACTCAAACTTGAAGTCATTTGCCTAGTGAGAGCAGCCCTGGATGCCCTGTGACTCAGCATTTTGTGGTGCCTGAGACATGAAATGAGAGAAAGGTCTTTTTCCCTTCATAGCATTAACTAAATATGGAGCTAAATAAATGAGCTACTTCAAAAACACGGTCATTGGCTGAAATGTCACAGTGCTCTCACGCACAGGTTTAACTGAGTCTGTGATGACAAGGAGGAGAGCATGTGTCAGTAGAAGCACCCAAAGCTTTTCTGAAATAACTTGATCTATAAAATTAGCCAATAACAATGCTGACCACAATCAGCAGTCAGAAATAAAGAAAACATTGTGAATAAATGAAAACCAAGTTTAAAACTAGGAACTGTGATTATTGGTTTAAAGAGATAACTTAGAACTAGGGAGGGAATTGACCCAGCTATGCTTCACCAGACTATCAGAAACTAAAATGGAATCAAGTGAGGATTTTTTTCCCCTTGCAAAATTAAAAATTAAAAAACCAACCTGAGTAAAACTGAAACAAATAGGAAAGTCCAGCTCTTTTAAACTGTTCATAAGCAGAAAGAAAATAAGATAAAAATGAGGTAAAGTATATGAAGGTTGCAATAAGGACAAGTTTTCAGTTCATAGTCCCATGTGAAACAGGAACTGATAAAATGAGAAAAAATGGGGTCGGGTGAGGTGGCTCACGCCTATAATCCTAACACTTGGGAGGCTGAGGTGAGAGGAATGCCTGAGCCCACGGGTTCGAGACCAGCCTGGGCAACTTGGCGTGACCTCATCTCTACAATAAATCAAAAAATTAGCTGGGCATGGTGGTGCGTGCCTGTAGTTCCAGCTACTTGGAAGGCTGAGGCGGAAGAATCGCCCAGCAGGTCGAGGCTGCAGTAGCCATGAGTATGCCACTGCACTCCACCCTGGGCGACAGAGACTCCAACTCAAAAAAAAAAATGATTAAAAATGTTAACTAGAAAGCCAGGAGATCTGGGGAGATGAGATCACGAAAAGGGACAGGCATTCTGCAAAGGTAATGAGAAAGATGGGAAGTTCCATTAGGAAGGGCAGGATTCAAATACAAAAGACGACGAATAGATACAGAGACTGCCTGTAGGCAAACGGGTCAAATGATAGCTAATACTTACCTGGTTTTGGCTTCTGGTCTAAGTGCATATTAATTCTTGTCAACCAATTATGTAAATATTAAAACCCCATTTTACACAGGAGAACACAGCCTCAAAAGTTAAGCAACTTGCTGAAGTGCACACTGTTAACTAATGGCAGAGCCAGGTTACCAACCCACACAATCTAACTTCACAACTTTATTTTTGCTCATTTTACTTTTTGTAGGCTGGACTCAAACTCCTGGCCTCAAATGATCCTTCTGCCAACACCTCCAGACAGTGCTAGCGGTACAGGCCTGAGCCACCATGCCCATCCTTCACAACTTTATTTTTATTATTGAGTCAGAGTCTCATCTTGTCACCCAGGCTGGAGTGCAGTGGTACGCTCATGGCTACTGCAGCCTTGATCTGCTGGGCTTAGGCGATTCTTCTGCCTCAGCCTTCCAAGTAGCTGGAACTACAGGCATGCACCACCATGCCCAGGTAATTTTTT